ATTAATTTATTATTATATTTATTTATTCAAGTCTTGAACTTACCTATATGGGCTTAGAGAATGGAAAGTAAGGTGAGTCTATATATATTTGATAAAGAAATCTAGTGCCTATCACCCCCAAGAACAGCATGTCATCATGAGTAGCAGTTACCTTCCAGTGTATATAGTCAGAGACAGAGTCTACCATAATAATATAAGTCTTGATAATATTTGTGCCCATAATAACATCACAGTGATCTCTGTGTCAGCTTCTAACCTTGGAGCTTGTTGGGAGACCTACATTGCATGTGATTGTTACATATGCATCCATACATCATCTGATGCTTTATCCCTCTCCCCTTTTTAAAGTGATTATCGCAACTTTAAAAAGGCTACACTATTTCTTTAACCTATTTAGCTGTGTTTGGCTGAATTGTTTCAGCCCTAGTTGCCTTATTTCTAGTATAATATTCTGTATCTAGCATGACACCAGCCCCTCACATTTTGTTGCTCAAGTTTCTGACATTAATGAATTAGCAATTCCCTGCACCATCATGAACAACACCTAGTTGATCCAGATGATTATACTTAGAAATAAATTTCCAGCTATCCTTGCTTTGCTTTCTAATATTCACACCTGATGCTTTTCTTTATGCCCTGATTTTCATTTATCTTCTTTATTAATGGACTTGTATTGACTTAATCGTATCATTGGATCACGTCTACAAGAATGCATACTGTATTATGAAACTGTATTCCACTACAGTGCTTTATCTGGTTTTATGCACTCCCTTCACAAAAAAAAAAAGACATAGATATTGTTACTAGCTCCGTTGTGGTTTACTCAGCCTGTAAATTTTTCTAGCACTCCAAACTAAAGAATTTTCTATCTGATTCTACCATTTCCTCCCCCTATTCTCCCTTTTCTCTCCTCACTCACATTGGACTTCTGTAAATTGACATACAAGGTCAACAGCTTGTTTGTCTTGTTTATAAACCAATTCCTTTGCCACTCTGAGGAGTCTGTCTGCTTTCTTTCATGCACTATAAAGATAGAAGCCCTTTCAGAGATATAATCAAGTTCTTTAGTAGTTTTTTCAATGAACAATTTGTAAATGTGTATATTCTATATCTCGGATTGATATTACATGCCAATCTAGCAGCTATTTTTCCCACTCATAATCAGCAAGCACAGTTCTGCACAAACTCAGATGACCTGTGTCTATAAGCATTTCTTTTGCTTCTGATCTTTTTATTCCCAAGTCAGTATCTAATTGCAGACAAATTCCAGGTTGTTAATAATTTCTGATAAATGATGCTATGCCATATTTGACCCTTTCAAGCAACATAAGAAATCAGATTGTCTGTTTGAATGTATCTTTTTCTGTGTCTTTTTTTTCAGTATCCTATTCCCCAGAATATGATAACATTTGTTAGTTATTTACAACTTCATTCCACTACACATGGTACCCATTAGCAATTGTTTTTATTTATGTGAGTTCTCTGAAATCTGTTGCATTCTATGTACTTGCTAATTGACTATTTGAGTGTAGTTTTCATACTGATTGTTTATTTCACATTATTTCCTGAACATACCTGCCTACATGTGCTCTTTCCATTATCTGCATGGAGCCTACAAGAAAGCTGGAGAGACACTTTACAAAGGCATGTAGTGATAGGAGAAGAGGGAATGGTTTTAAACTGAGAGTAAGTTTAGATTTGATGTTAGGAGGATATTCTTTACTGTGAGGGTGGTGAGGCATTGGAAAAGTTGCCCAGAGAAGCTGCAGAACCCTATACCTGGAGATGTTCAAGGCCAGGTTGAATGGGGCTTTGAGCAACCTGGTCTAGTGAAAGGTGTCCCTAGCCACGGCAGCAGGATTGGAACTAGGTGATTTTAAAGGACCCTTACAATCCAAACCATTCTGCAACTCTATGATATGTTTTCCTTTTTTCTTAGACTATGAATGTAATTTGACTTGGGCATTCTTTTACTTGGTACCCTGACCAAACAGAATTGGATGTTGTTCTACCCTGTCCCATGACTGTGACTGCTAGCATCTCAAAAACTGGAAATGAATAATCTTATTAATACCACTATATATTACTCATGAAGTCTTACATTCAAAAGCTTTATTATATCTCTCAACCAGGAATTTGCGTTCTATGAAGACCCTGATTATTTTCTGTGTTATGTTTTCACAATCAACAAATCACTCAACATTATTCTGTGCTCCCCAGCTCTGATGCATGCCTTGGTGTTTGGCAATGTGACGGCCATAATTCAGAGGATGTACTCCAGATGGTCCCTTTATCACACAAGAACCAAGGATCTGAAGGACTTTATACGGGTCCATCACCTGCCACAGCAGCTAAAGCAAAGGATGCTTGAATATTTCCAAACTACGTGGTCTGTCAATAATGGAATTGATTCCAATGAGGTAACCAAATGAGGGAGTTTGAGTGTTTGACATTTTTGACTATGAACTTAGAGTCAGGGAGGGGATTAATTTTTCTTTTGTGATGCTGTGTTTTGTGTGAAGTTGAATACTAAAAAGAACGTGCCTAAAAGTAGATCTCAGTTATCCCAGGAAAAGGGCACACTATTGAAAAATCGCATTTAAACACTAAATCATATATTAAATTTCAAAGTCCTCCATAATTCCCAAATGCATTCACCAGAAATCTTTTGGATGATGTCAGCAGAAATGCCACAATTAGCATTTCTGTCTTTCTCTAAATGAAATATTTACTAGGGGGGTTTAGGTCTTTTTTTTAAGGAGGAACTTTGCTGCCCTTTCCTCCCTCCTTCATTTCATTCTTTGAAATACTATAAGCAAGCAGTTTAAGCTGAATTTTTATGCTATTTATTTCCCTATATTTTTAAATATTACAGAATGTAACATGACAGTGAAATCAAAAGACAGATTTCTGGTGGTGTCTTTGCTTGCTTGTTTTAAATTACTTGTCCAGGTTATGTATTACTATACTCCAGGAGAAATAATGACTTCTCTCTGCTGGAGTGTTATTTGAATGGAGCATTCCCTTCAGATTTCTTGTTATATATGTTATAAAACTCAGTAGTCTCTAAAGATAATGTGGAAATAAGCAGAAACATTTGGGTTTGAGAATGTTCTTTTCCTCATAAATTCTTATTGTGGTGTGCACAGCACAAAGAATGGGATTTTCACCAGCATCCTAGCAACAGAGGGAGCTTAGTAAGATTTACAAAGGTACAAAAATCACTTAGATGTCAAAGCTTTCCTAGATGTGGTTAATGATCACCTTCAGCTTTTGTACCTTCTGTACCTTTAGTCACACTGAAAGTGAGTGACTGCTGTACTACAACTGCAGCTCCTGGAGAGACCATCAGTATTTCATTATTTGCCTCCTATGGACAAAGTGCCTTGTCTAAGCCCACCTGGTCAAGCCTTGTCTGATTGAATTGTTCAGATGCCACAGTCATCAAATTTCAGACAGAACTGTGTTTGTGGGTTTGCAGCTTGCATGGAAAAATAGGAAGACATCATGGTCTTTTAGTTTCCATAGGTTCTTCCACTGAACATGCACCTTGTCTCCACTTCTTTCCCAACCCTCCTTCAGTGTCCAATTACATCAGTAAAAAAAAAGAAATAAGTTAAAAAACCCGAAATCCAACAAACAATAACAACAACCCCAAGAACAACAACAACAGAAGGAACAAAAAAACCTTCAAAGTTCTTTTTTAGTTATTTCTCTTCCAGTGGTTTTACCAGGCCATAGGAGAACCAATATTGCATATTAATGAATTTTTACAAGCATTTTAAAGAAAATGTAAACTAAGTTCATGTTTGCTCTCTTTTCAATGTATATGTCATTGTATATAATGATATACACCGGAACAGCCTACTGCATTCTAACAGCTGAGAAGAGCTTGGACAAGGTTAAATTGTATGTTAGAGGGAATTCACAAAATGCTATTGACTTTTTTTACCTGTTTTAGTTGGGATATTTTGTTTGTTTTCTTTTAGTCGTTTGCTGTTGGTTTGCTTGGGTTTTTTTTATAAAGGCATATATTTATTCATGTTTTTTCCTGGAATTTATTGGTGTAAAGATTTATTGAGACACAGCACATGTCTTTTCAAAGAGGTAAGAAAAATCAAAGGGATGTATTTGCATCAGTATGACACATGCAGCACTACTAAATCAGGTCACTTCTGCAAAAGCAGAAACAAATTTTTTTATATTTTTCACCCTGTTTTTTTTCTGTTTTGGACAGCTTTTAAAAGATTTCCCAGATGAGCTGCGTTCAGACATCACCATGCACTTGAACAAGGAGATTTTGCAGCTCTCCCTTTTTGAGTGTGCCAGTCGTGGTTGCCTCAGGTCTCTGTCTCTGCACATCAAAACCTCCTTCTGTGCTCCTGGGGAATACCTCCTCCGGCAGGGAGATGCCCTGCAAGCAATCTACTTTGTGTGCTCAGGTTCCATGGAAGTCCTGAAGGATAGCACAGTGCTGGCCATTCTCGGTATGTTCATAATCATAGATTCAAAGAGGAAGAATTGTCCCTCAGTGGAGGAGGACCTTCACCACTAACTCAAGTGTGTAGGCTTAGTGTGTCCTAGTAGTCTGATGAGAAAGAATTTGTTGAATTTTAAGCTGCTATTCTTACTCTATGAACATCCCTATTTTCTTTTTTAGTTTAAACTTTCTTATTTTTTGACATAAGTACCTTTCAGTTGCTGGATTTTCAGCTGTGCAGTATTTCACTTGTATTTTGACATTCTTATATTTATTCTCACTCCTTTACATGTAAAGAGGTATTTGCTAGCTTTTGACAAAAAATGTTACCTTCAACTAAATTTGATTATGGTATTGACAACTCAAAGGACACTGATCATCAGTTCCTAAACCTTTAACAAAAATTAGTGTCCAGGCATTTCTCCCACTAATGTTCCCAATGAAAGAAAGTAATGTGAGCCTACCAGCGTTCTTTGACACACATGTATGAACAGCCCTTGAAGAAAAGCCATGTGGTGGAAAACAAGCATTGTTGGCTCTTCTCCCCAGAGCCACTTCATCATGCTAACTGATGCTGCCTGCAGCCATCTGAGTATATTAGAACAGAGAAAGGCCAAAAGTTCAGTTCTAATAAATTTTGCTTAGTTGTTGCTTGCTAGATGACTGTTTTGACTTATTGAGGGTTAAGCATCTCTGTCTGTAAATTTCAGTTTCATCTCAATCAAATGCCTTCTAAAGAAATTCCCTTTATCTTCAGCTAAAAGATGATTAGAATTGTCTGAGTTAATGGTCATAAATTGTTTTGATAAAGTAAAATATAACATTTTACTCTAAAAGTAGAGAATTATTTTATTATACTGTTAATATTTCTTTAGATTTAAATGTATTCTTCTTTCTAATATCTTTCAATATTCTTATAAAGCAGAGTTAAAAAAAATATTTCCTTTTTTTGTTTCCTTGCTGTTTTGTGGGATTGCACTAGACTGTTGATAATGGAAGCTTGTAGTCATCTGTAATTGAATTTCCTTTATTTTAGTAACATGCATTTGATTGGCCTTTTTTTTAGAATATAAATGTGATACACAACCTATTTGTTTCAGAACTCTTTAATCCCATTAGATTGACAGTCCACATCACTCCATCACTCATTTGTTATTAGGACGCTTGAGAATCTCTTGATTTCATTGGATCCCATGGATCAAAATATAAAACATGGCTTAGAAAAAAACATAATCTAAAAGCCAGCAAAAGGTCAAGAGCTACCTCCATCAGAACTATGATTCCATTAATGAATCTGTCTTCGGGCACTTCTGAAAATGTTAATGAAAGCATCGTTGTGTAATGGTGACAATCAAAACAATAAGAAAGAAATTAGTGGATTTCTGAGAGAAGTTAATGAAATCATATTGCAAAAACATAAACATAACACAATGAAATAATGTTTTCCTACAGTGAATAAGAGATGCATCAGCTAAACTTAATTAACACCAGCAGAAGGTGAATGCATCAAACATGTAGGTCCCTATGAGAAATTGTGTTACTGACGGCATGTAAATCCAAGAGGGAATTTTTATCCTGACAATGTTGGGTTACTTGCAGTTCCCAGAATATTGTATAATTCTGTCCTGATTCTAATTCTAGTTTTTGTTTACTGAACCATTCTCACTAACAAGCAGTACAGCAACAATACAATTAAATCTTCTCATTAAATACATGTTTGGTCTCCCTTGAGGCTATAATTTTATATCTAATAATGGTGGTTAGGATATATTTTATAGGAAAATATGTTTTAATATGAGTTATATACTGTTTGAGCATGCATCCTTGAATTGTTAAAAATATTAGCCATAAATTGTTTAAAGATATCCATACTGAGAACATTTAAAACTTTGGCTGCATGTTCCAGATATGTTAGCAAACAGATGTGTCTGCAGAAACATTTATATATGTCTGTTCTCCAATTAAAACAAAAGAAAAAAAAAAGAGCTACTAAGAATAACTTAAATGGTTCTGTTATGTAACAAATGTTGACTTTCAAGGTACAGTCATTTTACCACTTCATTAATTCTACATGAAATTTCAGGTTACTACCTACAGTCTTTGCTACATCATTTTCATTAGGATAAGAAGGATACACCAGCATTACAAGATCAATTATAGTGTCTTTCATGCTGATACTATTTCATCAAACACTATAGCTACAATCAAATACAGATCTAATATTTTTTCAAAAGTATTCACGCATTATTGATACTCATAGCATTTATATGTCTAAAACTAATAGGGTTACAGATCAGTTTTGGTATATTTGAAATATTTTTTTCATTTATTGTCCATATTTAAGCAGCCAGCAATAGATTAACATTGCCAGCCCTCTGCTTAAAATAATCAAAGAAATCTTAGGACTTGTTGATATTTGCAGTAAAATTTAAATGTGTATTACTGCTTAGCTTTACAATGCATTTTATTATGTAAGCAATACATCATGTGATGATGTACAACATCATCATGTGATGATGGATTGCTTACATCATCATGTAGTAATAACATAAATGTTACTATCACCTATCAGATTTCCTTTTCCCAGACTGACCTAAGATCATACCAGTTCTCATTTATACTGAGATCCTTAAAAGACCCTAAAGTAGCATTAATATATGCATTTTATTATGTAAGCAATACATCATGTGATGATGTACAACATCATCATGTGATGATGGATTGCTTACATCATCATGTAGTAATAACATAAATGTTACTATCACCTATCAGATTTCCTTTTCCCAGACTGACCTAAGATCATACCAGTTCTCATTTATACTGAGATCCTTAAAAGACCCTAAAGTAGCATTAATATATGCATATTCCTAAAAGAAAATTTTTTTTTTCCCTATGCTGGGTTTATGATAAGATCTTCTAAGAAAGTTGTTCAGGCTCCATGTAAATAGGGAAAAATGGTATTTTAAAGTACTAATAAAGTGATATTTTAAAGTATATAACTTCCTATTTAAGAAGCTTCAGGGATGGTTGGCTGTTTAGTTTAACTTATCCTTCTAGTTCACCATTTCCTGTTTAATACAGAGTTGGAATCACATGCTGAATAGATTTTCAAACTTGACAGTCTTCACTTATTTTTATTAATCACATAATAATGTAAGACTGGAAAGGACCCCTGGAAGCCACCCAACCTAAGCCTGCTTTAAACAGGGCTAGTTTAGCTACTTCAGGGCCGTGTCCAGGCAAGTTTTGAACATCTCCACAGATGCCAGCAATTCCATAGCATCTCTGGGCAGTCTCTTCCACTGTTTGACCAGTCTCATAATGATTTTCATTTCCTGATTGCTAATGAGAACTTCTTTCCTCACAGCCTGTGCCCAATACATCTTGTTGCCTTGTGCAGCCTGAAGAGCAGTTTAGCTGTTTTTTCTACACTTTTCTCTTAGGCTACTGAAGAGCAGCACTATTACCCTTCCTTTGCCTTGTCGTTGTAAGGCAGAACAATACCCACTTTTTTAAGCCTTTCCTTGTACATTATGTTCTCTAGGCCCCAATCATCTTGGTAGCCTCTTACAGACTCACTCTAGTATATCAACATTCTGCCTTGTACTGGGAAGCCCAAAACTGTACACATCTGGATGTGATATGATGACATAGAGAGGAAAGAGTCACTTCCTGGGACTTGCTGGCTGCACTCTTGCTAATGATGCACAGGAAGTTCTTGGACTTTGCTGGCTCATGTTCAATTTGTCCAGAAGGATCCCCAGGTCTTTCCTGCAGGACTGCTTTACAGCTGGTCAGTCCCCAGCCCATATTGCTGCAGGGAGGTTCTTCATCTCAGGTACAGGACATATCATTTGGTTTTGTTGAAATTCATGATGTTCATGTCAGCCATTTTCTCATTCATTGAGGTGCCCCTGAATAGCAGCCTTAACCTTCAGCATATCAACCACTCCCCCTTCAATTTGGTTTTGCCCATAAACTTGCTAAGAATACACTCCATCACACTGTCAAGGTCTTTAACAAAGACCATTTGCATTAACTTTTGGGGAAGACCTCTGGTTCAATAACTGCACTTCAGAATTTATACCTAAGGTCAGATGTTTATGGGATCTTTTCATTATAAAATTTTTGTTCTCTTCACTATATGGTCCATTGCAGTTTTTAATACATCTAGTATTCTAAGGTAGCCTTGTGACCATAAATGAAAATACAAGGGCTTCAGAATTCTTTCTTAAGAATTCTTTATTCTTGACAGAAATGCCATTGAGCTAGAAATCTATTTATAGCCTGTACAACTAAGAAACATCATGAAATGTTGCTGTGCAGCCATAGTTATCATGGGTTGTGAATGTTTTTCAATCCAAATTCTAACTAAAATTTGAATGGGGATCTGCACTTACTTGCGTCACTGCCAAAATGTTATCTTAACACCTGCCTGTTTTAACACACACACAACAGATTTTCTGAGAAACAAAATTCCACCTGCTATTAGTTACTAGTGTAAGTCTTCATTTTAAACATGTTTACTTTATTGCTCCCTTAAATCCGCTAGTTACCTGCTTGGAAATGATTCTTTGTACTGTCATTAATTGCATAGAAGGTTGCACCTGCAAAAATGAAAAAATAAAAAAAATAAAGGGCATATTTTAGTCTAAGATCCTTTAGAATGTTATTAATTAAACAATGCAGTATTAACAATGAGATTTCATGTTTAGCAATTATGTTAAACTGATTTAGCACTCAGAAGTAAAGATTTTATGCTTTGAAGATGTATATTTTTGTATTCTCTTTTAGGTAAAGGAGATTTAATTGGAGCAAACCTATCCATTAGGGATCAAGTTATTAAAACAAATGCAGATGTTAAAGCTCTAACATACTGTGACCTCCAATGTATAATCCTCAAAGGTCTCTTTGAAGTGCTTGACCTTTACCCAGAGTATGCTCACAAGTTTGTTGAAGACATACAGCATGATCTCACATACAATCTAAGAGAAGGCCATGAAAGTGATGTAAGTATCTTTAAAGGTCTCTGCAGCTAATGTTATCTTTAAGATGTTTCTCATACTTCAGTCATTTCTTATAATTTTGCTGTAGTAAAGAAATAACACACAGATTATGTTAAAAGAACTGCTCATTCTATTTGTTTGATAATTCAGACATTACCTACATTAATTGTTTATCAGTTGGTTAGATCATAAACAAGTTCTCTGCTTCTCATTTTTCCATAAAAAAACTTCATCCATGAGATGACATTCTTCTTTCTTTTTTCATTTTTTTGCTTAGGTTTAAAAATAAGTCATAGTTATATAAGCCATGTCCAAATAAAGGTATTTAACTATATCTTTTCTAGAAGCTCATGTGCCAGCCTAATGAACATTCTTTTCATACATCATTGATTATCACTATGTAGTAAATGTTGTCACACACTCTAAAAATGAGAAACAGTTGTTTCTCTTACACTGCAATTAAAATGTGTTTTTCCACTTAAATGGGTATTATAATTTGAAAAACAAAGAAACGCAAAAAAAACTCCAACAAAAAAAAAAAAAACCCCAACCAACCAACCAAAACAAACAATTAAAAACCCACCACAAACAAGAAAATCCAGAAAATGTACTCCTGAAAGGCTTCAGTACAGACTTACCAAAGTACTTTCACTGATACGTAGAAAATATAAATATTCAGATTTTATTGGGAAAAGCTTTTATGACATCTTTCTTTTTCTGACTACGATACAAATGTTCAAAGACAGTGATAGCCAGGCTTTCAGGATGATGTTTAGCAGACCAGCCATTTGTCTTTGTATTGTGCTTCTCCCTACACAGGGAGAAAAGTAACATGCAAAGAGCATGACTGGGGACTAGGGTACTGTCAAGATAGGAGATGAATGTAATGCCAGGGAAGTGTTCATCAAAGTCCTTTTCAGCTCAAAACCCCAATCAATTTGATATATGGACTGATTTTTCCACATAAGATCCTTACTGGGTGCACTTTGGTATCAGTGTTTCCACAGCAACACTCTATTCAACCATTGCAGCAGACACTTAAACACAAACTTCTGGAGAGGAAAATAATCAGGATGTCTAATTTGTTTGTCTCTTGAAATGTCTCCAAACTTCCTGCTGCTGAAGACAGAAGCTCAGACTACACATCTGTTCTGAGAGCTTGATGACTAGTTTGTATAACCAACACATTTCCCTTGGGGAGCGATGCTTAATCTGAAAGAGTATAACTCCGTGTAAAGATACAGTTTGAAGCTGATTGCATTCTCCTCTACAGTTTTGTCATGGAACTTGATGGATCCCCACAATGTATTGCTTCATGACTTTCTGTATGATGACAAATCTGGGGATCACCATCTCAGCTGCATCTCAGCTACATTCAGCTTTTATAAATTCAGGGAAGCCTCCTCTCAGTTAAAGTTAGCTGGGTGATGTACAGGCTCTCTGCTGAGAGAAAGCCTACAGCAGCCTTGAAGGTGAGTGCACAGACAGGAAAAGAGTTTACTCACACTCTCTGAGGACGATGCGATTTAAAGCAGTGCAGGACATGTCCAAGTAAATTTTCTGTCTTAAAGAGGAATATATTTAGAGCATTTGTGAATATACACCATATTTTCATGGCATAATCTGCTATTTTAAAAACAAGGAGGTGGGGGTGGGAGAAGGGGAAGATCCTGACACTGTGTAGCATCCACTGTCATATGCAGGTATAGAGGACCCAAACCAGATTATCATCGTGTCACTTTCTCCTACATCCTCAAGTTAACTATGGCCTCCACTAGTATTTCTCTTGCAGGAGAACAGACCTTAGTCATGTGCATCTCAATGGCCTCCACTAGTATTTCTCTTGCAGCAGAACAGACCTTGGTCATGTGCATCTCGTTTCTTTTCTAACCATTTCACTTACCAGGAAGGAAAAAGAACAGGAATAAGGTGGTAAAAAAACTGTACCACCACATATAGAGGGCTCAACAAATGAGAGAAGATATCTATGTCAGTAGCAAGTGTGCCTGGTCAACCACCCCACTCTGCTTCACCTGGAAAATACCATGCCTTCATGAATATAATTTACAAAGAGTAATTGTTTAAAGTATCTGATAGTTTACTCCGACAGAAAAGTAGGTTTTCAGCTGCACAGTTTGTGGGTATGTAGAGTATGTTACTATTTCTTTTAATAGAAAGCAATACTCCTTGAGAATGGTGTTATGTGAGAGTTCAGCATCTGTGACACTATCTTGATCCCCTCTCCATAATACAGGAGAGTATTATGATACTTTTAAGAGTATCTGTAACTTTATGTGTCTGTAGCTTTATGGAAATTTTGGGTTTGGAGAATTTTTCTTTAGTTAAACAGTACATTGTTTCATTTGAATAAGTCTGTTTTCCTTGGATGTTTCAAATAACTGCAAATTTGCTACTAAAAGTGAATTTAATTCTTCTGAAATTGGATCAGCAGCAGTATTTAGACTGCAAATTTGCTACTAAAAGTGAATTGAGTTCTTCTGAAAATGGATCAGCAGCAGTATTTAAGATCAGGTGAACAGCAGGATGAAATAGGATGAATTTCCCCACTATGACATGCGAAGTGCCTTTCAGTCCTGACCTAATATATTATTACATTTTCAGTCACAGTCCACCAAAACTACTTTAAGTTGTAGATTTCTTAAAACTTTAAGCCAGCAATAAAAAGCTGAGTATGCAGAAGGATGTAGTCCTGATTATTCCTTATCCCTTTTCCTCCTTCCTTGTGTTGTTTGAACTGTTCATTGCACATAAAATTGTGTAAGATATTTGTACTGAATTAAAAGTATGTGGACAAAAAAGGGCCAGAAGTCATCTGTAAATTCGTGATCCTGGAATGTCAAAATCAGATACTTGGCACTAGGTCACACAGCCTCCCTACCCATGCAGAAATCTCTAGGAAAACTGTTTAAATTTGTTTTCTTGATTCATATGCAAGTTTAAGAGTGTTTTTAATGATGTGCTTCATCTGCATTAAAATCCAAGTATGGTGCAACTGTGTAAAGGGCTCAAGGACTTCCATAGCTGGGTCACTTTTCAGTAAAACAAGGAGGAGATGTAACCAGATTTCCCAGTAACAAGTAGAAACTCTAGCTGTCTGGTTATAGAAAGATTGAAAATATTGTTTAACCAGCCTTGGATGAAAAACTCAGATTTTAAGTATAAGAGTTGGCAACTATTTCAGTCTC